GATTACCTCTTCAGCATGCCATCGTGTTTGGCAAAGGCCTGATAACAAGCAATTAATTTGATTCAGCTGTGTTGGAGTAGGGATGCATCTAAAAGCTGCAGGATAGTAGCTCTCGAGGACTGGGATTGGGCAGCCCTGATATAGGTTGTTTATATGAAAATATTTTTTTTCTTTTCTTTTTTTTTTTTAAATCAGCGGAATTTCCCTGTTAATTTTTTCTATCAGCTGTCAAAGTCGGAGTTTGATTATCTTTGAAAAGATACACGTAAAATGGTGTAAAAGCAAAAATACTTACTACGTGTGTGTGTGTCCAGGTGTGGGTGCGTTGTACGTGCGTCGCAGGCCAAGGGTGCGTTTGGAGCCAATACAGAACGGTGGCGGGCAGGAGAGGGGGCTGCGCTCTGGCACTGTCCCCACCCCGCTGGCTGTTGGACTGGGAGCTGCCTGTAGCATCGCCCAGGAGGAGATGGAGGTAAAATAACCAAAGTCAAACATCCAAAAAACCTTCCCAGACGATGCTACATTTCAAGGGGATTAGTGCATGTTTGTTTGTTTGTTTAGTATGATCATCAGCGGGTGTCCATGCTGGCTAATCGTCTGGTCCAGAAGGTCATGTCTGAGATTCCTGATGTCATCATGAATGGAGATCCAGAACAGCGTTACCCTGGTAAACACATTTATGTTTGTTTAGCAGTCTTTATGAGGACATTTATTAGCGTAAGACATTTCTTAACTCTAGCCTATACCTAATTCTAAACTGAACCTCGAAACCAACTCTTAAACTGTAAAGTGTTAAAGTGCTCCTTGTAACTAAACTGGTTTTATAATACGCTAATAAATTCCATGTAGAAATGAAACTCAGTGCTGCTGCTGCAGGCTAGAGTTTAAACCAAAATTGATTTACAAGTCAGTGAAGATTTTTGAAGTTAATGTTTTTGAAGTGTTTTTGTTGGAAGTTGGACTAACACCTTTGATTGTGTTTGTGTGTCTGGGTGTTTTCAGGCTGTATCAACCTTTCTTTTGCCTACGTGGAGGGCGAGAGTCTGCTGATGGCACTGAAGGATGTTGCTCTGTCATCAGGGAGGTCAGATACAAACTTTTTTTCCACGCACATATGTCCAACTTTTGAGTGTAACTTTACCCACTGCATCAAAAAGTTAGAAAATCGGCATGGTTTTGAGAGGATGGAAGTGTTGACCGATTTGTGTACTATTTATGAATCAAATGTCCTGCCACCTGTGTGGTCAGGGTAGCATTCTTACATTAGCTTCTCTTTGTTGGCTACTTTTTAAATCTAGAATTGAAATTAAATCATTCTCCTATCACACAAAGTCCTGAATGCCTTTTGCCTGAATGACTTTTCGTTCCCTATCTTCTGCTCAAGTTCACAGAAACACTTTTAACATAAATGTCAGTTTCAACACCAGCATTGCGAGTACAGTTACATGCTTAATGTACAGTTCATGCACAATCATATGAGGCTTTTGAAGTCTCTAAAGATGAATATTTGTGTCTGTGTGTGCAGTGCATGTACTTCAGCGTCTTTGGAGCCATCATACGTCCTCAGAGCTATTGGAGCAGATGAAGATCTGGCTCACTCTTCCATCAGGTAACAATACCTCCTGTAACCTGGATTATGATAAAAACTGCAACTCCCCAGAAGTTTAATAATGATTTTCCTTGAGCTTCCTAACTCTTTTCTTCACATTGATCAGACTTAGCAATCAAAGTGATTAAATCCACAGAAAACTAAGCTGTTTATAAACTTGGATAACCAGGGAATGGTTACCAACAGCCTTTCATGTTCTCTAGTTTCAGGTTTAAATGTCCGTGTTTCTGTCTGTGGCAGGTTTGGTATTGGCAGGTTCACCACTGAAGAAGAGGTTGACTACACAGCAGAGAAATGCATCGAGCAGGTCCACAGACTCAGAGAGATGAGGTAAAGTCAGCTCTCAGACACTATCACGCAGATGCTGATTTTACTTTACATTCATAAAATTGATACAAAATTTTGAACGGTAACCTTGTTTTCTCTAACCTGCCTCTTTGCCTCTCTTTCTGTCTGTCAGTCCTCTGTGGGAGATGAGTCAGGAAGGCATCGACCTGAAGAGCATCAACTGGACGCAGCATTAAGCTTCTTCCACTTCTTGCCCACTTCGACATGATAGTTCCCAAAAGACTGAAGGAACAGACCAGCTTTTTTTTCCTGTAAACAAACACGCACAAACTCCCTGTCGTCTGGCTGTAGCTGTAGCTCAGTGTCTCTCTAGAAGCTCCTCCAGCTGCTCTCTCAGGAGATGTTGCTCAGACAGTTGACCAACGCACATCAATCTCTTCTTTTTCTTCTGTTGCCCAGAAGGTTGCTTCTTTATCTCAGATGAAACGTTTACAGAGGCTGTGACACGCTCTGAAATCTAACATGACATTCATGAGAAGTACATCCTCTTTGGTTGTTTCAAACTAAATATGGTATTGATTGTGCGACATGTCCATCAGTGGCCGATTTGGGGCTTTGATCAACAGACTGCCTGCAAACAAAAAATTGAGACAGACATCCAGGACCATGTTTTCACAGCAGGGCTACTCAAAAAAAAAGCAGTTATTCCGAATACAACAGTAAAGGATAAACCAGTCGGCACATGTCGTATTTTTTTAATAAAGGTTAGGGGAAAACAAATTTGTGGGCACACACACAAACCAAAACAGTTGGTTGTAAAGTAAAAAAGGAAAAAAACATCTCTCTATGACTAAGAAGAAACCCTTTTATACTCATATGTCTCTGTCATTATTATTTTTTTCTAAAAACATTGCAGCACTGTAATCAACTATGCATCCATCGCACAATTTGATATGCATCAGTGTCTGTGACCAAGATTTGTCTAAAACTGGTCTTGCACAGTATGACAGACGTGCAGAAAATGGCACAGAAGCGCTTTTAATCTGACTCTTTAGGTGATTTGACTTCACCTAATCTAACATCTTGATGCCTGGTGTCATGAAGCTGGTTAACAGACAGCTTAGTTTACACTTGTTTCACTAATGCACTCATGAGCGTGTCTGTGGGAAATGGAAGTTACACACAGTACCGTCCAAATCATGAAGTGTCAATGTGGCAGGCAGGTTGAAATGCAACATTGTTTTGTTATGACACTGCAATTAGTAGAAGCTTTGTAGGCCCACACATTGTAGCTGTGTACTGTCATCTGTCAAATATATCTCAGTAATGTAGTGTAAAAGACTTCAAACTGGAGTGAAACTGAATATTGAAAACCTGAGAAGTCTTTTAAGCAGTCAGTATGCCGGGGCTAAAGGCAAGTGTGTTTCCATAGCCCTTTCATTCTTTGACTTCCAGTAATCACCCTCTCTGCAGAGCCAAAGAGCTCCACAGAAAGACCTGATCAGACATTCACACAACTAGAACAAAATAATTTATAATTTACTGAGTCAAGCAGTAGTTCAAACATCCATTGGTGTTATATCCAGCGATCCAATTGATGACAAGTTTTGATATTATCTTGAGAATGAACCTGCTGTGGAGAAGCACGAATGTACGTGTGACCAACACAGTTACTGTTTACTCTTGCTAAATGTGACCGAGCTTTGTGATACCATCACACTCGCATTAAACCCAAAGATAGCCACATAAGTTAGAAAAAAATAAAACACGGGCAACAATCTAAGTGATAAAAGAATCGGAACAAAGCTGTGTTGCTTCAGCAAAGCTGGAAAGAGCAACTGAAGGCAGCAGGATGTGATGATTCGCCCAGTATTTATTTGAGTCAGACCTTTCCACTAGATTCACAGGCTTATCTCTCCAGCTCTGTTCATAGGTTATAAACTGCCCTCTCTGTCTCATGCTCTTGTCTTATCATCCCACATCAGCATTTATTATTCATTCAGTGGTAGCATGTTGGCCTATGATCAGCAGTTCTCAGTGAAATATCCAACAAGACCGTGTTAGCAGCAGCGGTTTCATTGTTCTGTTAGTCAGTAACCACTCTACAAGTCTGCAGCCCTGATTTTTAAAGTCAGACTTCTGTCACACGTGTCCGTGGCTTATGACAGGAAATACAAGATGATTGTGAAAATCTAAACAAAAATAAAACAATTGGTTAAAAAATGTGGGTCTCTAAGACTACACTCTCTGGGGGGGGGATTCTTGTATCGTGTTCTTGGATGTATCTGGAGCCTCTTTTTGATATATTTGCTCGTCTCCTGCATCTACTGTCTTCGACTGTTACATGTCATTGCACATTAGTATCCAATAAAATTGTTTCTTCTGGTTATGCCATCAACTTTTGATGTATTTCATTTGTGTTTATTGTTTTTTCAACTCAGATTCTCAAAACAGTTTTGATGATGTCTGAATGCGTTTTTCACATTGCTCCACGGGTCGCAGAGAGTTCAACCTGAGGTAGTTTGACCATTCCATTATAAGATAAAATAAGATGGATCTTCTTTGCCCTGGAGATCAGAAATTGTCTTTTTTTTATGTAGCAGATAAAATTTCAGTTAAACACCACGAATGTCTGTGACTGTAAAACTCCAAATCTGTCTGTCCACAGACTCTTATGCAATCAGGAGTTTAGCAACCAAACATTGCACAGTTACATCTTAGGCCCCTGTATGTATGTATAATCTTTGCAAAAGTCTTGCACCACTCATGTCTTCCCATTTTGCCTCCAGTAAACACCGAAATATACCATACGAATATATGAATTTATCTCTGAAAAATATAGTCTTACCAAATAATAACTTTCACATTTGCTAGAACTGTACAACCCCTGTTTTTACCCAACAAAAAATGTATATAATAATATAGTAATTGTATAGTATATTATAAAATATTCGTAATTTTATAATCTACAAAAACAACTTAAGTTGTCAAGAAGAGTGATTAAAGGTGCAGTGGGATAGATAAGGCAAGGTCTACTAAACTACTTAATTCCCCCAGTCGACAGGTGGCGATGTCGCTCAATCAGGATATCCCCAGCTGCGTGTTCTCGCGTCATCACGCCTGTCATCGCGGTGTTTGTGCCGACATTTCGTGCAGTCGTAGCAGCAGCTTGCAGAAGGGAGAAGAAAAGACCCGCGTTCATGAGTTAAACCTCAGTGTGTTTGTTGACAAATTTCTCGGTAAGAACACATCCGCGGCTGCTCGCTAAAAGACGAAATCACAGCGGGAGCCGATGAAAGCACGCAGCCTGCTCGTTGTTCCGCTGCACTTCACACACAGACACGCACACATACAAAGCAACCACCCCAGTCAGCTAGGTCGCTAATGAGCATTAGCCTGCTAGGAAGCTAAGCGGTATAATCTACATTCACTCTTATCTGCTGAAAATTTGATAGTTAGCTACGACTGTATAAACTCCACGTAGACTATGAATGCCTGTTAAGCGTAATGACTGTTAGCATAAGAAAAAGTGTAAGCAGACTTTGTGTAAAACGGTGTCTTAACCGTAGCCGCAAGCAGATATATACATTTTTCTATTTTTCACTGAGCGTCAGTTCGTGTTCTTGTCGTGTATTTATTGAGTGGAGTGATGGGCATGGAGGAAGGTTTTGAACGATATTTGCTACGATACAGCGCCGTCCGTCACTGCATAGTAGAAACCAGTAAACCCCGGCTTTGGGTAATGACGTTAAGCGTTGAGCCGCGATGTTGTCAGAGAGGATGTTGTTCAAGATGAGGCTGAGTAGTCATGGAGACCATGTGGGGACGTTTCTGATAGCTGTTAACTGATGTGTGGTCTTGCTTTATGAACATCAGCCCTTTTCAGATATGAAATATGCAATCCCAGCTCTCCCCTGTGATCATCATGATTTAATTCAGTCATGATAGAACCGAGAGAGAGCTTCTAAAATATGTAGTATACAGTATACATGCCGTTACACTGTAGCGTTAATATCATGATTTAATATATGCAACATAGGCCAATGCTACATATTTTTGTATAGCCTGAATTTATGACGATGATGCGCCTGTTGTTTTTATGTAATTCCTACAGGTAAATGCATAGTCAAGATTTAGGTTGTCAACATAAAGAACAGCTTAAAGTGTAAGATTGACTCTAAAGTTGTCTTTTTCACACTCATTACCAGGGATGCACCAATGTTTTTGTTTATTTGCATTGTTTTTATAATTTTTAAATTATAGAAATAGGTATTTTTTTAGAAGTATTTATTAGAAAACATAAGTAAACGCATTGGAATGGTTTGATTCTCTATCCATTATAATGAATTGTGGACAGTTGTGACAGCACTGTTTCACACTTTCTTTAACCAATGTGACACCACAGCAACTGGTAAATCATCTTATTTGCAAATAGGTTAACAACAGGGATGAAAACTTCAGTCAGAAATAGCATTCAATAAGGAAAACTACTTAAGTCCCAGATCTCTGCAGGTAGTTTTGCTTTGCCAACTTTACCTGAAAAAGTTTGCACTGGATTTTTTTTCCACTTCAAGTTGTAGTAGCTAACATTTTTACTTAAGTGTCTCAGACTGGGAAGAGACACAAACATGGTTTTGGTCCCGAGCCTGGATAAAAGGGAGAGTTTTATCAGGATGGGTATTCGGTGTAAATGTCTGCCAAATTATCTGCTGTGATGCCTTCTTGGGAAATAAGTGAGGAGCAGAGTTGCATGTTAAAATATAACAGACAATTGTAATAACAAGGAAATTTTTTTTTCATAAATGTATAATTTGTGACGTTTTGGATATATGACTATCATAACTAATCCTCACACAGCAGTATGTAAGATTAATGAGTCAATTTGGCCAAATATATTGGTGCATCCCTTCGTATGGCCTTTCATGTACACTATTAATCAAACATGAGACTTGTATATCAGTGCTTCTAAACATTCACATCAAAGGTGCATGTCTGAAAGGGGCTTTAGTTGAGTTTGTGAATGACTCCCCAGTTGGTCTGTTGGATGCTGAACACAGCAAACAGGAATATTTATCAGTTTCTCCAGTATTAGTGGTTTCTAATTTTGTTCTGTTGGCTCAGTGTGCATTGCGCAGGCCAGTGGAGCTCTGTGCCAGAGATTTTTCTTTATCAGACATTTCTGAAAAAGGAGGGCTCAGGTGTGCTCTGGGCTTCATCCCAGAGGCAGTCTCATTGTCCCATCTGAGACTTGATCTACATGCTGAATGTTGTGAATGGAGAGTTCCTCATTCTTGTTCTTTGGTAGATTATGGTCTTACTTTTTTCATCTTCAATTCCACTCTTTGATTGATGGATTTGACAGCCAGTTATGCGTTCCAGCTTTGAACCAACAAATTAAGACAGTGTGTTTTTCCTTTTGATTCTGAAGTTTCTTTCTTGAAAATCAGTTTCTGGTTTTCTTTGTGTGATTTATCAGCTTCACTGTGTCTCTGTTGTGTTAATACAAGCTGAATGTTTAAACTTGCTTCTGGTTACTCGATTCTTTGACAGTATTTGTTTGTTGCTGTTTCCTCTTCTGCTGTGTTTTATCCTCTTGCTGCTGTTGATGTTGGTAGTGGATGTCTTGAATGAAATTGTTTAAAATCTAGTTTAAAAAAGCAGTGGGTACACTGCTGACGCTGATAATGCTAATGTTAATGTCCAGACTGATTTTGGTGGGTGTGTTGAGTTGTGGGTAGCATCCTGGCATACAAACATGTTCCTCTGCAACTCATTGCTTTGTACTTTCTCCTCTGCTCAGCTGCTGTCTTTGGTGCTGTGCTGGTAATTAGTTGCTGATATTATTTTGGTTTACTTAAAGCTAATGTTGCTCCGGTTGACGTGATGCTTATGTTGCTCTGGTTTACATATATCTAAATTTGCTTTTGACAAAATGTTGAAAATGTTGCTGTAATTGATAAGTTACTGTTGTTACTTCTGTAATAGTTGTCCCAATGATTTGTGTTAATTGCTGACGATGTGTTGCATATTTGCTGGTTTGGTTTGTTCCGCTTGTTGTGTTCTTTTAAAGCCAGATGCTGAAGTGTTGTCTGCTGGATTTGGTCAACACTGTGATGTTGCCTTCGACCTGTTTGCCAGATCGGTTGGTTTTTTGGGTTGTTGCTTTGACGTTTGGTGGGCATTGCTGAATGTTTTCAGATATTGTTATTATCTATTTGTTGATAATTACATTTTTTTGTAGCTGAAGTCATCATGTTGTTGGTTTACGAAGCCTAAATGTTTTAGTTTAGTGTGATATGTTGTGGGCACTGCTAGTCTTAGTCATGATGAGGTTGAACTTTGGACTGGAGTTCTTCTTTGCTTCTGGCAGTAGTTTTTCTTTTTGCTGTCTCATTATGATGATCTGTTGTTGGAAAAGATTTCCAGTTTTAGTGTCCATGGAGCTTATAGAACAATTTTCGTGTGCTTTTCCGTGATAAGACCAGCTTTTAGTTGTAGGGCTAAACTCTTCCACCACATACTACTTGTGCAATATTCAGCATTTTTTTTTAACTGAGTGAGTGCAAATACTTGAAACTGATAAAGCACATCCTGTCAAAACCTTCTTGAAAATGGCTCAACGTACCATTCTTTTCTGTGAAAGGCTGAATTCATTGATGATGTTTTTAAAAACAGGAATGCTTGTTTCTTTGACCTTTTCACCAGGTTTCAGTATCCTGCAGAAAACCTCTGTCTGTTACAGTGAAACTATACACACAGCTTAGTTGCATTGGTGAGTTGGAAGTTGCATGAGATTTATAAAGGATTACTGTTGCACGAATGATTCCATAGTTGAATAAACAAGCAATATCGCTGTACTGCATGATAGACAACTTAATGAACCTTATTGTTGCAGCCAGTTTATTAGGGCTCAATATTCCAGAGTACCACTGCAAAGACTCAAGGCCTTGATAAACCTTAGACAAACTGGGTTGAATGACACTTCATCATCCGTTTCATCTTAAACAAAAATTAAAACATTTAAAAAGTCCCTCTTTGGGCTTCACTGGGTTTCCGCCATAACTTAGGTACATTTAGTAAGGCCACTAAGGCCAGAAAAAGCAGAAAAAGGAGGAGGAAGTATTAACATGGCACTATTCAACCAAAGTAATGAATACTAGGTACACATGAAGATCAAGTACAATAGGCTACACCAGCAGTAGGGGGGGGGGGATATAGCCTCAAAATTATATCACAATATTTTAATCATGATATAGACAAAAAAATGCTGAATGTTTTGTTGTGCTTCTTTGGAGGCTGCTAAAGAAACTCCCATTTCAGATAGGTTGGGTAGGGTTCATAAAAACATAGTATTGCTATAGCAGTGATATTGGATAATGACTTTTTTATGTCACTTAAAATGTTATATCAGTATTGTCATGGACAATATGATATGGCACAGACCTACAGTGCACTGAATCACAGTTAATCTTGTATACAGTGATGGATGATTTTTGCCTGCTATAATTAGCGAATGTAATTGGGCAGATATTAGCTGAAAAATAAAGGTGAAATGGTATTAAACATTTTGCTACTTCAGTCCATTTTATTTTAGTATGTTTGTTTTATTTGTTTTAAGAGTGTTCGCACCAAACGTGAAAAAAAAAAAGTCTCACCTTGCGCCAGTACACTTGCTGAGTAGTTTTATGGAATCCACAAATGTTTGGCCATAATGGCCAGTAGGAGAAAAATCACTGCAGTGCTGCCATCATTTCTAAATGTTCACAAGAACATCTTCAAATTTGCTCACTTTTCTCCAAGCTTTTTAGTTTTTTTCCTGTTCGACCATACAGCTCCTTCAATCCACTAACACCAGCATTAAACTGGTCCTCACTTTCTAAATGTTGGTGATGTCAGAAGACGCTAGTCTCTGGGAGAATAGAGAGAAAGATGAATACACGTGGATTTGCCTTAATTTCCATTACCCGCATGAACTTGCATAGACTTTTGTCAAAACTTTGCTTCACATTTGGTGTGAATGCTACACTTTAAAAAAAAAAAAATTGTTGACAAATGTTTAAAAACAGAAGGCGTACAAGATACGGTAGCTAGTGTTTAACTAACAGTCATAATTTTAGCTCATAATTAAATAAAAATTAAATAAACACGACCTGAAAATGCAATCATCTTAATGCTTGATACTCAAACACTGGCGGAAACCCTGGACTTCAGATGCTTTTATGCAATCTAGTATTGAAAGTAAAACAAGTTGTGTTAAAGTTTTCTTTTTGTGCACACAATTCACATTGAAGGTATGTTGATACCTGAAAATGTTTGTTGAATGAAACAAAAGCTGTGCTACTTGTCTTTACAAACCAGATAAGCTTTACTGAGGATTAGAATTTGACCTGGCCAGGTGCATGCATGGTTTAGAAGGACAACAAGATATCACAGATGACAAATGAGTCTCATTTTTGGCATGTAAAAAATGTTTTCAGAATTTTTAAATGTAATATATTTGCAATTCATGACAATTTAGGAGAGAATATACCACATATCATCACAGCGTCAACTTTATCTGGATTGTTTTTCCCCCTGTCTTTAAGCCTGCCTGAAATTCTTGCTGTTCTTTAAGCACAATTTCTTTGTTCTTGCTATGCACTGTTTTTAACACTTGTCAGTTATTCAATACTAAAGCTATGTTTAAAGCTTAAGATTGTTTTGTGGTCTAGTAAAATATGTTGGGCAGGATTGCTTAATTATCAAAATGAAAGTTTAGCTAACCTATTAAGTGGTTCAGAGAGACTGTTTTAGTTGACAGTTTTGTGCAAATTTTTAAAATTCTTACCTCTATTCCCCAAACCCCTTCCAAAAAACCTTTGGTTTCCAGATGGCAAGACAAAAAGGAGTGCAAGATTGAGAACTTGTTATTATGAAGCGCTTAAAATTGTAAGCACTGCTGGCTATGCAAAAGAGACTCTTATCCAAGTTTACTAGAAAAAAAAATCTGGAAACGATTGGTCACCCTCTCTCTGCTCTTCATCTGATGGTAGTGTTGCTTTCTCCCCAGGTTTTAGGGCTGTTGTTTAGCAGTCAGTATGGCGGTAGTCATCAGACTGCAGGGTCTGCCCATAGTGGCTGGCACCATGGACATCAGGCACTTCTTCTCTGGCCTCACCATTCCTGATGGGGGAGTGCACATCGTGGGGGGTGAACATGGTGAGGCTTTCATCGTCTTCGCCACAGATGAGGATGCACGGCTGGGCATGATGCGAACAGGTGGGTCCATTAAGGGCTCCAAAGTGTCGCTGTTGCTTAGCAGCAAGACAGAAATGCAGAATATGATTGAACTCAGTCGCCGGAGATTTGAGGCTGGGGCAGGGGCTGTGGAGATTGCTGCACCTACAGCAGGAAATGCCAGTCGTCAAGCAAGTGCTGCCCCTATACCCACAGTACAGTCTGGGGCAGGGGGGAGAAGCGGTAGCCATGGAAATCAGGGTTTTGGTAACACCCCGACTGCAGTGACGGCAGCAAGCTCATCTCAGGAGCCACCAAATAACAAAGCTGCAACCAGCTTGGCCAGCGTGGTGCCCAGCTTCCCCAACAGTTACAGTTCTGCTCCCACAATCACCACAGCACTGGCATCTCTTAATGCAGGACCCCCACCCATCCCTCCACTTCCCAGCATGCCTTCCATGCCTCCTATGCCCACACTCCCTACTATACCAGTTCCTCCTCCAGTCTCCTCCCTTCCTCCTGTTCCTACTGTTTCGCCACTGTCCCATGGACCTCCAGTGCCTCCTATGTCACACCTTCCGCACATGTCCTCTCTACCTCCCTTCAACCCTTCCCTACCTCCCCCAGCTGGACTAGGCTCGGGCCTTCCTCTTGGGACACCCAACCATATGTTGTTTAACCCTCTTTCTCCTCTGGCTTCACTTGGCCTTCAAGCCCACATGAAGGCGGCTGCTGCCGTAGCCACTGGGGGAGGAGCTGGCAATCCTGATGAGTTGTTTGTTCTGCTGCAAAACCTCCCATTTTCATGCTCAGAGATGGAAGTCAGGGAATTTTTTCGGGGTCTGGGGGTTGATGCTGTTCGCCTGATGAGGGATGGACAGGGGCGGCCAACTGGTAGAGCTATGGTCAAGTTCTTCTCACCCCAGGAGAGCTTTGAAGCAGTGAAGCGTGGAGGTGGCATGATGGGCCAAAGATTCATTGAGATCACCCCTGGCTCTGAGCGTCAGTGGGCCAGCCTCAATGATGGGTTGGCAGGCCATGCTCCTCACAACAGCAGCAAATCAAATAGCAGTAATGAGTCACAAGATCTGCAGCACCGCCGTGGTAATGTAGAGGCAGGAGGCAGAGATCAACGAGCAAGGTCGCGATCTCCCCACCGACAGGAGTTCTGTGTGTACCTAAAGGGCCTTCCTTATGAGGCAGACAAAAAACAGATTAAGGAGTTCTTTAAGAATTTGGACATTGTAGAAGACAGTATCTACATTGCCTATGGCCCCAATGGACGAGCCACAGGAGAGGGATTTCTTGAATTCAAATCGGAACAGGACTACAAGGGAGCTCTAGGTGCTCACATGCAGTATATGGGCAGCCGGTTTATTCAGGTTCACCCAATCAGCCGTAAGGGAATGCTAGAAAAGATTGATGCCATCCGCAAGCGTGAAGCAGCACAGGGTGATGGCAAGAACCAGGATGGCTTAAAAACGCCCAGAAATTGCGCCCACATTACCAACATACCTTACAACATCTCCAAGAAGGATGTTCGAGCCTTTCTGGAGGGTGTGGGTATCTATGAGGACACCCTGAAGGTCCTGACAGATAGCCATGGCAACGGTTTAGGACAAGCCATCTTCCAACTGCGAACTGAAGAAGATGCTCGCAAAGCTGAAAGACTGCACCGTCAAAAGCTCAATGGACGGGATGCCTTTGTCCATCTTGTGACCTTTGATCAGATGAAAGAAATTGAAAGAAATCCTCCACCCCAAAATAAGAGGGGCCAACGCAACCAGAACCAGCAGAACCAAAACCACCACCAACAAGCCCAAACAATTCCCCAGCAACCCCAAATCAATCCATTTGCTGGGATTAGTGGTGAGGAGTTTAACTTTCTCAGAAACACTATGGGGAACCTCAACAGCCCCCCATTTGTGACTCCATTTTCAGCTCCAGGAAATGGGCTAGCAGGCCCTCCTCCTCTCCCACCACTGGCTGCGGGATTGGGAGATGTTAATTTGGGCGTGGCTCCCCCACTAGTTGCAGGCCTTCCTGGAGCGCCAATCTTGGAGCCACCTGGCTTTCGTAGTGGAGCTGCAGGAGGGGGTCCATTCAGCCAGGATGGGCTGAGAGGCTTGGTACCCTTTGACAATGCCAACAGAAAAGGAGGTGTGGGAGGACAGAACCGAGGGGGAGGGGCCAACAACAACCAGGGGCGTCCAGGTGGTGGAGCGGTGAGTGCACAGCCAGTGTTCACTCCAGGGGCAGAGGGTCTCCGCAACCAGCCAGCCCCCGCAGGATCCAATAATCCTAGCAGTCAGCGTGGCGCTGCTGGCCCAACAATTGTAAAGCTGCAGAACATGCCATTCACCGTGACAGTGGATGAAATCATGGATTTCTTTTACGGTTACCAGGTGCTGCCTGGCTCAGTCTGCTTACAGTTTAATGAGAAAGGCCTGCCAACTGGAGAGGCCATGGTGGCCTTTCAGAGCCACGAGGAGGCCACTGCTGCAGTTATGGACCTCAATGATCGACCTATTGGAGCACGCAAGGTCAAGATAAGCCTTGGTTAAAGCCCCTACACTGACTGTAGTTAAAATTACCTGGATTAAGTCAAGTTGAAACAAAGCCAGCCTAAACCATACCAGATTTTGGACACAGTTCAGACCTTGCCCTGTGCTGTGACTGTCCCTTTGTGTAGATATTGGCAGGTAAGCCAGATCCCCTGCAGTCTGTGCAGTAGAAAACTATGACTTTGCTCTTTTCTGCAGCTCCTCCACTGACTTTGATAGCACAGTATCATGATTAATATTGCTGTGATTGTAATGATGATGATGCTTATGATGATGATGGGAGGATTTTGGTCCTTTTGTTTTCAAGCTGTTAATGACATCACAGCTTATTTCCAAATCATGTCAACTCATGATGCAGCGAACACACTCAACTGTTTTAGGTTTTTCTGTGTGTCTTTTTTGTTGTTTTTTTGCTATGCTAATATTGCTGTATATGCTTAAATATGCTGCGCTGCTGTGGTTCGATATTAACATGCTCTGTTGCTGTAATTCTCCACATTCCTTGTTGCTGTGGTGAAATCATGATTTTAAAAAAGCTATGTTGCAATGATCAAATGTTGCTTTGGTGAAATGTTGACATGCCCCTTTGCTGTGGAAAACGTATTACTGACTTGAAGTTTTGTGGCCATTGTAAAAGAAAGACACTTGCTATAGTAAATGTTGTCTCAAATCTGTGTTGCAACAGTCCTCTGTTGATACGTGGAGTGTGTGGGATGGACAGATTGCTGACTTCAGTTTTATTTTGTAAAAAGGGGCTGCTGAACTTCTTTAATTTTTCACATTTTTTTATCATCTCGCTGTGTTTGAACAATGCCACCCTTTTTCCACAGCACTTGCTCAGTAGATGTTTGGATTGTAGAGCGCTAAGATGAAGTCTGTAGTGTTTTTAGTTTGGTAGCTTTTTGTTGTTTCAAAATTGTTTTGGATATTTTCTTCTTTAAGCTTATGTTTGTTTCTCTCTATTGTCAGTGTGAAAAACTTGTATGAACGTATAACCCTATATGATGTGGAGTCCTCTTTACTTTAGCTAATAAAAGGATGTTCCTCACCTGCGATGAGCTCTTTCTGACTGCTCTTCACTGTCTGATGATGGAAATTGACTGAATATGAGTTATTTTTGTAGAAGCAGAATGGAAGACTCGTTTGGACTTGTTTCCAATACAGGTGACCTTTAATATCGACATCTTCAACTCAATATGAATAGGCGTTATTATGGGAAAGAACTTGAACCTATATAGTTATCCGTTCTCTTTTACACAGTAGAGAGATTTTGTGTTTGGGGGGAGGAGGCGTACATGTAATGGTTTTATTTTCTCTGGAGTTGGAAGACAATGTAAAAAAAAACAAAGGCACAATTTAAAAAGGCTGACGTGAAAGTTTTGCTGTTTGAAACAGTCAGAATAAGATGACTGAATCAATTGAAATGCTTTAGTTTAAACATTTTTTTAACCATCAGTTGCACACAGAGGTTTGACTATACTGTCACAGTAAATCTCTTTCTGTGGTTAACACTAGACTTTTAACAAAACAAGATCATAGCAACAAAAAAAGGACATCAAGAATTCCTGAAACAAAATAAAACAAAGGTGCTCTTTTGTGCTTATAACTATAAAAGTTGTAAAATAAAACATTTGATGACCTCAAATTACAGAAACAAAAGTCTAGATAGTGAGTATAAAAACGACTGACCAAGAACAGTCGCAGGTCTCACAGTTACCTTTTACGGTAATAGCTCTATGGCATGTTTTGCGAATTACAGCATTGTTTAGCTAGCGAGTCTCATTCCCTCGCTTGTCTGAAACTCCCGCTGTCACCATGTTTTTCCATCCATCCATCCATTCGCTTCCGCTTATCCTTTTCAGGGTCGCGGGGGGCGCTGGAGCCTATCCCAGCTGTCATAGGGCGAGAGGCAGGGTACACCCTGGACAGGTCGCCAGTCTGTCGCAGGGCTCATGTTTTTCCCAGTCTGGTAATATACTCCCTACCCCCCCGGCCAGGTGGGTTGGCTGCGGGGGGAATTACATGCAGAATATTGCCATGGTAATTTATACTAGATGATTATGTTAAGGCCATTTTAACTATTGTATGTGGAAAAAGTCATCATACATAGTATAGTATATTTGATATATCCCCCAACCCTACATGAAACTACCACTACTATGACAGCAAAGACCCAGTAACTGAGTTAAGTTAAGTAAACAATGGGGTTTTTTTCCAGTCCCTAGAATACTTGGTTGAAAACTATTTTTAACCACTTCTGCTGTGATGCTAAAAGGGAAGCTGACTCCCAAGAAAATTTTCATTGGCGTTTTTAAAATAATTGTTTAGCAACAAACCTCTGGAGAACTGTCTAGCATGTTACAGGTGAATTGCGCTACAGTTACTACTACTACACTTTCAGCTGTTTTTTTGTTGTTTGTTAGGAATTTAGTTAAATGCTTTCTTAGTGGAATTGTTTATGAAGAGCCTATACATTCTTGCACAGTTATAGAACTAAAGCACATTGTGTGTACATTGTAGCTGCAGAAAATAGCTGTAGCTTTTTGTGAAAATTTAGGCTTCCCTTAGAAATATGATGGGACATGAAGGCAGAACTTCACTAACCCTTTGTGCCTCAGCAGTATTCATGTTGTCTAATTCTCCACACAAAATAGAGCTCATAATTAAATTCATCCTGAAACCAAGAGTTAAATAATAGCTGACAGAGTAAAACAAACACTAGTCATATATGAACAAGAGGTTTATGATATTCTATGACAGCCTTTGCTGTTCACTGAACTCTTCTCTGAGCAAATTCAAACCAATTTGTGGAAGATCATTTATCCCAAATTACAGGACAGTTTTCAACCAAATCGTCAAAGTTTTGATTTGTCACCTCAGCTGCTCTCATTTTTGTCGATGTGCTTTATTTATTTTTTATTTGCTGCAAACTTAAAATAAAGCCTTTGGATGTATTATCAACTCTGTTGTACTGAGTAGAGGTAGTGGAGAGCATCAGTGGAGGTAGTTTTGTCTGAAGAGGAGTCGTCTGCTATCTGGATATGGTTAACCTCCAAGCAGGTACAACAGCGTTCAACAATATGTGCATGCATTGCTGAACTTTGTGTGAAACTGTGGGAGATAAGCAGGCTGTAATAAAGAGAACTGAAGCACTGTCTTTAAAAAATGGTTGCTGGGAAAGATGACTGTGTCTTTGTTGTGAAGCTGGTGTGTGGAGTGAAGAGAAAATGCAGTGCAAATTAAAGAGAAAAAAAGAATTTCTGACAATTGGTCTGCAAAGGATGCATGTCTGTGCAGTACCTGTGTTTTGGTGGGTGAGTGTGAGGCAGGGGTAAAAATTATCCCAGCGTGACTGCTACTGAGCTGTCAATCATTCAGCTGCTTTCCACCCTCCTGATAAATAGACATCCAGAAGGCAGATCTTGCAGGTGAGTGAAATTTAAAGCACATGAGGAATTTCACATAGTTTATCAACAATACCCTGAAAAGTGCTGGTGCTGCCTGTAGAGCACCAATATCATTAATCCTAGATTAGTTTTCAAGGCCATAATTGTTCAATGATTCAAAAAAATGGAGCAGGTGGCAGGCCTACAGCCTTGAATCACTAGATTGTCTAAATTGCCCAATGTTTGGAAGGCAATACATACTTATGAGTGATGGTAGCTATTAGATGGCTCCTAGCCTGTATAAACTCCTTGGAAGGTAGTAGAGGGGTTTTTTGTAGCCTGTAAATGGTAGTCTGTAGGCGAGTTAAACCTATGGATGTCAAGCTGTAGATAACTTGTGGTAGATTGAGCTCTTTTAAGATTTTATAGGCACAGGCTCAGGGAGTGGCAGCCATCTGCAAACCTGACCCTGGGTCTGCTGAAGGTTTCTTCCTGTTAAAATAGTTTTTCTTCTCTCTCTTGGCAAGGGCTTGCTCATAGCAGGAGTTTTCTTTGTATTATTGTTTTACAACATAAAACTCCTTGAGGAAACATCTGTTGTGATATCAATAAATTTACACTTGCATAAATAAAACACTATATGGCTAAAACTGAATTGATTCAAAGGTAAAGGCTGGCAGTTAAGTGGTGAATAGTAGTTTGTGGATGGTAGCCTATGTAGCATTTCATTTGTAGATGGCAACTAGTACAAGGTAGCATGTGGATAGGAAGTAATTTTTGGTGGATAGTAGCCTATATATGGTAACCTTTTGATCATAAGAGCACTGGAAGGCAGCTGGTAGCATTTAGACTTTAAGTTATAGGAAGTGTATGGTATGTAATAGCTTTCTAAAAGGGTACCTATAGAAGGTAAATCATGCCTAGCAATGCCCTGTGGATAGAAGTCTATATAGTACTTACTATGTAACGGAGGAAGAATAGAACATGATTTCAGGTAAATGGTAGTGTTTTGGCAAGCTTTTGGTAAGCTGTTGATGATTATATAGGGTTGATGGTGCCCTCTAGATTATATTGTTTTGGATAGTAGTAGCCTGTGGATGGAACAACGGCTTACAAATGGTAGCCAATATAGTGACTTATGGATAGAAAGTGGTTGCTGTTAAATGGCTGAAAATGGTTAACTTTTGATGGCTTTTTAAGGTGGATGCCGTTCTATAGAATATGCTATGTCAATGGTAGATAGAGGAATGTGTATAATAACATAGTGTTTGATTTTTGGTACAGTACAAATGTAGATGGTTGCCTGTGGACAGAAAGTAAGTGCTGGTTGACAATATTCTGTCAAAGGTAGATAGTATACTGTCAAAGGTAGTCTGTGGTTAGTAAGTGATTGTTGGTAGCCAATAGATTACAGGTGTCCAACTCCAGGGTCGGTGCAGGTTTTAAATGTGTCCTTGATCCATCACAGCTGATTTTAATGGCTAAATTACCTCCCTAACATGTCTCGAAGTGCTCCAGAAGCCTGGTAATGAACTTATCATTTGAATCAGGTGTGTTGAAACAGGGTGACATCGAAAACCTGCAGGACACTGGCACTCGAGGCCTGGAGTTCAACACCCTTGCAATAGATGGTGCAGAAGGTGGGCTATGTAAACTGTGGTTGGTTGTAAAAGGTAAAGGGTATTGCTGATGCCAGAGGCTTCTGGCCAGTAACCAACACATGATAGATGTGGATTGAATGTGATTGTTAGATGATGGTGCTCTGCAGATAGCATTGTCTAGATGGCAAATAGTGCTCTGTGAATGGTATTCTATTAGTAACAGTTTCCTGTTGGAGGCCTATATATGGTGTAGAAGGTAGATGTATGCGTTGGAATACAAATTGAGCCACGGCAATATATAGATGGTCATGTATAGACATTACAGAATATTTTACCTGTTGTTCATAGTTAGCAACTGGTAGATGGGTTTTTATATGCAATTTATATAATATATAGCGGTATTAGATGGCAGAGATTGGAAGACTGGCATTTTCTGATAAAGTTGCCGCCTATTTAGCATTATTTTGGTAATGATTTGAAAATCAGTTGAAAATAAATGACTAGTAACATTAACCCAAATATACAATAGTTTTACAACATAAAATAATTTAAAAAAAATGTAAACACATGCAGCTAAATAAATGCAAAATTCACAAAATAATTGTAGGTAGGCAACCTGACCTAGTGATGTTGGATGAACAAATAAGTAATTTCAAATATATATATATATTATAATTAAGTAGAAAACGATATACTACCTTCTTTATCCTTGAATGAGAAGTGGTGTATAAAGAATGGGGAGGAGTCCACTTGTGGAAATGGAGGAAATTGTGCGAAAGATTATTGACTGGACTGATCACGTATTATTTTTTTCTTTTTAAGGCATATGAAACACTTACATATGCCTACAAAGTTTGAGCATTTTCTTAATGCCACTTCTAGATTCCTTGCTGCTTCAACTTTAATAATAATAATAATGTTGAAATATTAGTATTTGTTAATTAGTAAGTCTTTCATCATATGGATTTTACAGAAATGCAAATTAATGACCCAAATATGAACAAAACAAAGAAACAACATTTTTATTGTATAGAATCATGCAGTGAGTCTAACAATATAATAAATGTACATGAAGCTAAATTAACACCTAAGTACACTAAGGTAATGTTAAAACTGATATCTATCTATCTATATCTAGATAGATATACAGATAGATATGGAGGAAAAGGGGTAATCTGAGCCCTGTGGGTTCTTGCAGATGCTGTTTTTTTCTCAACTTTTTTGGTCTTGCATGAGGTCATGATAAACTTAGCAAGTGCATATGCTTTTTTCAACTTAGACAGTTGGCGTGAGTTTCAGGGTTATTTATTTTTGATGAGCATAAAATAAAATTAGGGCTAAAGAATAATAATATAATGTTTAATGTATAATGTTTAGCTTAAGGTTCCTGTTACATTATTATAGCATGGATTGGGTGCAAACTTATTCCAGCTCTTTTTTTGAGGCTGCATCTTACTCAAACCATGGAGTATGCTACTTTCAACATATTTCCTCACAATTAAGTCCCAAAGATTTTTATTTATTTTTATTTTTAAGAAAAGGGTGTGAGTAGTTTTCAGGGAAAGAGATCCTTACAGAATGAGAATCACTGAAGCAGGAGCTCTGTTTGTTTATGCATGTGAGATCTGCACGGTAAATAAAACAACAATACTCTCCCCTACCCTCTCTCCCTCCGTACTGCATTTTTCTGTTTGTGCTTTTCCTGGTGTGTTTCTGTGTTGCTTTTCAGACTGCACTGTGGTTCTACTGCGAAGGATGAATAAAATGAAACCATATTGTTCTCTGTGGGGAGGGTGACTCATGCTGTGTGCAGTTTGTTCTGTTTCCTCTCTGCTCTGACTGTTGTTCAGTCTATTTGGTCTCTTCTTCTGATCACCACAGTACATCTGCTTCATCATTCATTCATTTAACTGCAGCTGCAATAGCACTTCCGGCCCAAGTATGTGATCTTCAATATAAAAGCACTAAAACGTTTAAGTCTTAAAGCACATGATCTTTTTCCCCTCAAACATCAAGTCAGATGAAGAAAAAAACAAAAACGATAACACCCTCCCCCAACACACATTATCTTTCTTATAGCTTCGTTACAAAAGAGCAACGGGAATTCTACTTTGGAGGACATAAAAATGAGGTTGAAAGCTTTAAATAGATATTAATAAAAGATTTTTCTATTAGGTCAGTTTTGAAGTGAAATTTGGAAAAAATAAATCTTCAATTGGAAATGCATACATAAATCTCCAAATATTGCTACATCTCTGTAGCAATATTACCACCCTCGTAAACATGCTGGACTTGAGCAAAAACAATACACATACTAGGATGGATTGTTCAGCCATGATAATTTAAACTAAAATTAAGTGGACTGAATATTATCTCTGATGGGATGCAGTCATGATCATTTATAAATTACTTGTACGATTTATAATCCTCAAGGATTATGAATTGTGTTAAAGTGCGTAACACTGTTAAACATTTTTGCATTATTGCATTATGCTTCAATCCTTACCATATCTTTAAGTCTTGTTGTGCTTGTGTTTGGAAGTAAAGCTTTAATTATGCAAGATCTCAGGGACTCTGGACGTTTTTCTCTCTGTCCTGTCATCGTTGTGTTTGGGGTTATCAGCTTTGGTTTGTTGTTGGTGCAGTAATCTTTGGAATAGTTTCCCCGTTTGCTGCAGCAGCTTAATTCCGAGGCGGGTGTAATAATAATATCTTCAGGCTATGCTAAGGTTTAAACGCGGTGGTATGATTTCTTTTCTGCTGTTCTTGTCTCTGTACCAACATTAGTACTAATATAATTATTAATTACTCAACAATGTGCATTATACCTGGTCGGCTGTAGTGTGATTGGAAAGTTAAATGAGTGGGAGGATTGATTGCGTTTGGCGTTATTGAGCTTTTATTGTGAAGGAGTCTACAGGACATGTGAAAGGTAGAAAAGTCACCGTACTCTTGTTCGGGATCAGAGGGCGTTACTGACAGTTGTTTTGGCCAATCAGGAGTCGAGTACGCAACCGCATGTTCAATCAGAGAATAGTTAGCCTGGCCACCACCCTCCCGTGACATCGAAGGCTTTCGAGCAACGACAAACGGAGTTATTTTCGTCTCAGTTACTCAAGGCTTGTATTGTGTGGTGTGTATTTTACTAGAAATCCTGATAAACTGGTCAGATAACGTTTAGTGAGCTCTTTAGTGTGTTTAACAGAAAAAACAGGGAGTAGTTTCCGTTCGCGGGTTGTGGGAGTGGCTGTACACCGCCCTTGGTTTTTATTCCTGTTTGAAGGGGATAAAATATAACGGATCCAATAAGGTGATTTTTTTAGCATTTATGATGGCATAATTCTCTTTAAATGTGTGCTTGTGCGAGAGTGTGTGAACTTCGTGTGTTGGAGAATTGTGCTGGTGTAACTGGTTTTACAGGTCAAGTCAAATCTCCATTCAATCTCATGCTGATGTTGCCTTTAAGGGGCTGCTACTCCTCAAGTTCGTGCGGGTGGTGCCTTTACCTGCTTCTGCTCCTTTTGTTGATTTAGTTTGTAATGAAAACGTCATATCAGGTGGCAGATGGTGCGAATATGTCACATGAGTTGTTATAGAAGAGCCTGGCTGACTTTATGGCTGCTGATAAAGACGATACCGCCACATTTCCTCTGTTTATTGAGTGTCTGAGACCGGTGGCCTCTTTTGAATGTGGAAAAGATAAATGAATACAGTCATCAGAGATATGCTGTCTTACATTTGGGCTGTTTTATGACTCTGTGGTGCAGGAAGTTGCAGAACACAAAACTGAGATCTTGCCAAACTTCAGTTAAATTCTGCAGCTGTTTGTGGTTAAAGAGTGATTGCATTTGTGGTGTTTTTGAGCTGCTGTTTCATTTGGGGACATCTTAGGGAACTCTGCTGAAAGTTTCCGGTTTTGAGTGGCATACCAATAAAGAGGTTTTGGCTTGCTACCAAAAGGAAACTTATCAGGATTGCAATATAAAATAATTAGTTTTTATTTTTAATCAATATGATTAAAGTATATATTAATGTATAATGAGTTGACCAAAAGTGACACAGCACTTAGGTTATATGAGGTAACTGGCTCACTTCCTGGACCAGGTGGTTGCTTGCAAAGACCCAGTATGGTTAAAAAAAAAAAATCCTGTTACCAACGCGTGTTTTTGTTTAACTAATGTACAGGAGCAGGAGATGAGAAGAGTATGATAGTGATTAGATGTTGTGTTTATATTGATCTGTAGCGGCTGAGTTGTTGTGGCCACTTTGGGTAACCTGAGGCTTTGTGTTTCTAGTGATTCAGTGCTTATGGATAAGCATTGGTGTTATTTGCAGTTGTTTTTTTCTGATACAGGGTACTATAACTGCTGTAAAGACACACATTTCTACTCTTGAATGACTATTTTAACGTTACAGCTGTCACTGTAAGCTATGCTGATATTGAACTCTTAAGTTCTGAAATATGCTGATTTTAATTTCTTTTCTGCTCCTCCTTCAGATGGCAGACTGTGTCAGCAAGGTGGAGCTGAGTGTCTCCTGTGCTAACCTGCTGGATAAAGATGTGGGGTCAAAGTCTGATCCTCTGTGTGTCCTGCTGGAGAGCACTGGAGGAGATAAGTGGGCTGAGGTAATATGACAGTCACGCTTCAGAACAGAGCTTTGTTTGGCTTCAGACTTCATTCTAATGTGAGAATCCTGTTGGTGTTTCTCTGCGTCAGTTGGGCCGCACTGAGCGTCTGAAGAACAACTCCAGCCCGTCCTTCAGTCAGCGTCTCCGACTGGATTATCACTTCGAGAAAGTTCAGAACCTGAAGCTGGGTGTCTACGACATCGACAACTCCAGCTCTGACCTTGGTGATGATGACTACCTGGGAGGGGTGGAGATCACACTTGGCCAGGTACACACCGAATGTGATCAGCTATTACTTTCAATACCAGATTTATTAGAATCTATTTTTCAGTAGACTAAGGTTCAGCTCTTCAAAATGCAGTCAAGCTTATTTTTTTGTTTGTTTTTGTGTCCCAACTGTTGTAGGTTAGAATTGTAACTTTCAGTCTGTTGCTTTCTCCAGTTTCCCAAGAAGAAGCAGGAGAAATGTATACAATAGGATGGACATATATATAAAAAAGAGAAATATATACAAAAATAAGAGAAAGGCACACATTAGAGTACAAGTTGCAAAGTGCTTGGGAGTAGTGCAAAAGAAGACAGACTTGGTCTGAATAGAGTGTGTTTGCGAGCGGCCTGAGTGATGGGGGTCGCTCAGATTAGTGGGGTGGGTGGGCAAGGGTGGGGTACTTTTTATAAAGTTTATACATTTTTCATAAATGTATGTGACATCAATCATATAACACAAGTTTCACTATAAAGTTACTGAAATAAGTAGATGCACTTTCTTTATTGAAAGTGGAATTGTAACTCATTAACTTTCATTAAAACTTTTGTTGGCAACGTGTCAGAAACTAGCTGAAATGCAAAATATGCTGAATATGACCAAGAAATAAACAATTTGAGATGCAGGAAATGTTTCACGGTTTTTAATTATTGTGCAAAGTTGTTGCAAATAAATTTTCTTTTAACTAACATAATGATTCACGATCAGCTGTTCCAGTCTTACAATGTGTAGATCATAGGTGTCAAACTCTCAGAGC